CAAATTGGACTCTCACAACGCGCGTTAAATCGCGATACTGTTGTTTAATTAATCTGTCGTGCGCCCAATACATTATTGTCCACCGCTGAGCTTGCAAGCGCGGAAACTGCATTTTGTTACATAAATTAATGGACGCGAAGAAAATTTCGAGACGTTGAAAGTGAATTCTTAAGGCTTCATTCCACGTGTTGCGCGTACATATTTTATCAAAATTATTAATTATAGGAATATATAAACACAATTTGCGAGTAATTTCGCAATTATTGGTACTTAGACGCTGGGATGATTCTTTTTTTCGCCCATATATCGGAAAGAATCACGCGATTACGCGACACCCTGTACATTCCGCGGCACGGTAGCGCGCAATCCAATATTTCTGGCCGCACTCTCTCCAGCTCGGGCGATTGGTAGCTCGCAACGGCGACGCGGAGAAGTGCAGATAGCTGGGCAGTTTATCGGCTCTCCGTGGTGTTAAGCGTCGCCCACGCGTTTTGAGCGGGAAAGAGATGGAGAGAAGGAAAGAGAGAAAAACCGCGGTCGCCGATGGACGAGGCTGTTTATTGTTATCGCTATCGTTGGCAAGGGAAGCTGATACGCGCCGACAGTACACGTGCCACTCTTCGCGTGCATGAGCGGCTACCAGTAACACGCTTCCAACTTTAACACTCTTCTTGGAACGGTTGCCAATTTTTTAATAAGAACAATTTTAAGATAGCACCATTTTTTCTCTCGCTTCGACGAATTAACTCCATAAAAATAAAAAAGTGCATTTATATTGCATGTATGATATTATATTTCTGATTTATTGTTTTTATTAGAAATAAATTAAATTGTATTTGCATTTTTCTGCAGACGAGGCGAGTTAATTCATCTCTCTGGTCATTTTTAATTAAAGGAAACTTTTTTCATCAAGAAATGATTTAGTCAATAAATTGAAAAAGAATTTTTGAGGATTTTACGAGAGAGAGAAATGTGTGTTTCTTCCCTCTCTTTTTTTTTCTCTCCGTTAAGGATAATAAATTTCAGAAGGAATGAAATGTTCCTCCAACCACAAAGACACCATTATATACGCAATCTGTGTGTTATACGGAAGTTTATATATTAATGTTCTAAGAACTTCAGCGCCGACGGCGTGGCAACGTTGCCGCGCTATTGATATCGAGGACGAGCTATCCCGATAATTTTTTACTCGCCGTCGTTGTCGATGTTGAAAGAAATTTCGCTGACTCAACCGCCGTCAGGCCGGGCTTCTTCTTTGGCTCGAGCGCTGAAAAAGAGAGCCGAGTTACAATTTACTGGCGATAACGCTGTATCTCGGCAGGTCGTGACGTAAGGTTATCGTGCGCATGCTTTTCCGTAGTCGGATCGCGCTCGGTCTCACATTTTCAAACAAATTGCCGTCCGCGGTCGGCACGACGGCTCGATTTTTCAAACTCGCCGCTCTGTGTGCGCAATGTTTGTTAATATCGTTGATTTCGACCAGATATTGCAGAACCACCGGATGTTCTTTCCATTAGAAATAGTGGGACTTTAATTAAACGCTTAGAATTTGAATAAATTAACAAGACTGTTTAATTTATGTTTGCATTAAAATGCGCATTCAATAAAATCGGCACCATAAAAACGCACGCAATCGTTCATTTTTTATAAGAGAACAAATATGTTGGATATTTTACATTCCTACTTTTTGCTCGAAATGCAAATAAAGTTAATATTCGAATATTTAAATCTTACAGAAGAATTTTAGCACATAAAGAAATTAATAATTTTATTTCAAAGTTTTATTTAAAAATAACAAGAGATAAGATTATTCGATTTGAAATCACAAAAATTACAATAAGACTAATAAAGTCCAACAGATGTTTCATTGGAATCTCTTCAGTAAAAAAAAGACATTGTTACAAATCATCGCACGTCACACATCGAACAGATAATTGCAAATCATCGAGAAAAGCAGAGAGGCCGCGCAAAAAATACACTTAAAAAGATATTTATTAAAAATATGCAGAAAATCAGCGGCGAACAGTTGTAAAATTCTTTCACATTCTAAATTCATTATTGCATCATCACTGCATCTGTGCTAAATGCATGTTCACTTTCCACATTTTTCTACTGAAAACTTCAACTCCGACAAAACTGGTGCTCTCAGTGTTTTTCAATCGTCGCGTTGCCGTCGCGGCACTCGCGCGACATCACAAGTATACAATAAAAAAAAAAAAAAACAGAAAAGAAAAAGGGGAAACAAACAGATTCGCGCAAGTAAGAGGCGGGAACGTGGTTTTCTGCCGGCGGTCGAGCGACATTTCTGGTAGCATTCTACTCGGTTTCCGTGCCGGCATCTCGTGACTGCGCGGATTCCGCGCACATTATTTACGCCGCGATTTCGCGAAAATGAGAGGAGAAAAGGGGGGAAAAAAAAAGAGGGAAGGCGGGTACCGCACTCTTGTGCAAGCTTCGCCGCCGGTGAAAGTCTCTTTGCAGTCCGCGAGAGCTCGTTGCCGGACCGCTCTCGAGATGGATAAGGATCTCGAGGATCGATCGCGCTCGCTCGCCGCTTTCGTGAGAAATTTATCGGCCGATCACTATCGGCTGTCCTTTCCCGCATTGTTCCATCGAGTCGCGAAGCTTCTCCAAGCGTCGAATCGCGATTTAATTCGGCATTTCAGATTTTTCCAGGCTCAATTTTCCCGAAATTACGAACACGTCGACATTTGCGATGTGTGCTGGCAACGTCGCGCGCGATCGAGACGCGCGCGCATTTTTCTTACCTCATCCGTCGTCGTAGGTTACAGGTGAATCACGCCGGCGATGAAATTGATTTCCGCGCAATATAAGCCGGATCGGTGCCTCCGCGAAATTGCGGACAATCCCGATTCGTAAATAATTCGCGACGCGGTCTAATGAGCCTGTTACCGCACGCGATGGCGGTTCATTACGGGATAGGACAATGCGGGGGACACTTTGAGGAACGCGCATTCTTGCGATACCTTCCGCGAGCCGATCCGTTACGTAAGGATCAACAACGTGTACGTAAAGATTACGTCGTGCAGCTGAAACAAAGTTGGTTCGGGATTAACGATTCGCATCACGTCCTGCGCGATAGCGGAATTTCTGCTCCTCGCCGTATTGCAGATTGTTTTTATCCAAATATTAGACGAAGAACTCTTGTACGATGAAACGAATTATTTCCGCGATGGTGTGCATTAAATGCCAAAATTACGGCTTGAATAATCAGAACACGTGTAATTAGAGTTTGGCCTCCCGCTTAGATTGTTTTAAATAATTAACAATTTTCGTCAACATTAATCAATGATTTGCAACGAAATTTGTCTTTGCATCGCGTGACAATATAAAGAAATTCTATGCTGAAACCTTGAAAGAAATGGAAAACATTTTTCCAAATATTTTTCAGGTTTATACCTGTTAAAGAACACCGTAGATGGTGGATCATAGTGGATTTGTAAAGACTGTTAAGATTCTAACGAAAAGTCGGCAAGTTTTTTGAAGTTTTTGGTAAAACATAAAGTTTCACGGTTGACTTAAGATTCACCTGAGAGAATTGATAGTTTTTTGTGGTTTATGGATCAAATTCATTCACACGAGAGTATATAATCTGCAGATTTTACGGAACTAGGTAATTTAAAAGTTCGAAGAATCACTCTACAGTCATTCAAAAGCTTCGAAATTCGTCGAAGAGAACGATTTATTACAGTTTTCACACATTTCCGTTGGATTTCGTACTTTTGGATTAGCAGCCTGGCTCGTTTTTGCGGAGGGACAGAAATCCGGTCTGAAGCCGCTCTCCTCTCGCGAACTCCGAAGAGTTAAGCGGAGGAACGTTGAATTAAGTAAATAGATAAATACATCGAGAGGAATAAAGGGAGAAAGAGAGGAGTGGGGGTGGGGAGAGATCGGCGAGGAGAGACAGCTCGTAATTTATGTCCACGCAGCAGCGGCGGGCGAGTTGAACACTTGAAACACGACGGTGGCTCGGATTGGCCGCCTTCGGGCACCTTATAGGGCCGCGCGTACGCGCGCGGGCGCGCTGTGCGGGTCTTGCGACATCCATCAGAGGCGACCGGCTACCATCGCCGGCGTGCCTCTTTCTCTTTCTGCGTGTTCCTTCCCCTCTGGTGACAACGGCAGTTGCGGCCCGTCGTCACTTCACCTGCATTCTTCGTGAGCTTCGTCCGCGATCGGCCCTCCGCGTCTCCTTCCCCTTCCCCGTCCCGGTCCGCCGCTTACTCTCTCGGGCCTCCCTCTCTCTCTCTTGTCTCTGCCCTACTGGTCCCTTTAATCCATCAGCCTCCTTCATCTTTCGGATCTTACCTTCGTATTTTTTATTCCGCCGATTGTCTCAGCTGATCTTTTATGACGTCTCGCAATTAGTCTTTCCTTTGAGTTTTTCCGTCCTTCTCTCTTTCACTCTCTTATGTACGTTGACACATTTGTCTTTTTTTTCTCTTTTCTCGACCTCGAGTGCCTTCTTTATACAGCACTCCTGTGTTCCGGTGTTTCTATATTTTCCTCGGGCTTTTTAGCTCTTTTATTCGGTCTTTTCTGCCGCGTCTACATTTCTACATTTTTTTCTACATTTTAAGGCTCCTACATTTTCTTCTAATTTTTAGCTTTCTTTATCTGCTTGATCTTTTTGCTACATCTTTGTTCTAATTATATTCTCGCTAACGATCTATCCTAACCGCAATCTTCCTCCGGGGCTATTTTCTAAATTATACATCTCGATCACGCACAAGGAGTCACGAGCTGAAATAGATCATTAATCACAAATTTATGCATAGAGAAGGATATTGCGTGTACAGAAATGACCTTTTCATCTCTCATTCAATTTCATGAAAAACGACGAATCACGATTAACGTGGACTTTGCGCCGAATGTAGCATAAGGAGCGCTCGCGTTTACATCACACGCGCGCGCTTTCGTCTCGCACGCCGCGAAACGTCGATTTGATACTAAAATATCGATACATCGATTTGTTTCAGCAGCCGCCCAGCTCGCAGGAGCGTGGCAGCGGCTTGGCTGTGGGACGTCAAGGAGGACCCGGTAGCACGGGGGGGCCCGGTGCGGTGGACCAGGCGCGGGATCTCAGCCCTTGCCTGCCCGCGTCGATGGGCGATGCTGCGCGACCTACCACTCTGCCGTGCAGCCCTCCCGCCGCTCATCACCATGGGTCCCATCATACACCCTTACATCAGACCCACTGCGGCACCAACAACAATTGCTACGACGGCTCGACTACCCCTTACGACTCGAGGGATTACGATTCTCCCGCAGGTAAGGCTTTCTTTTACCTGTGCAGAGAATCATTAGTCTTTGGTCTTCCAAGTATTAAGATGATATGCGGAGATGAAATTCTTTGGACATTCTCGTTGTTTTTAACAGATATTTTTTAGAAGATAAACAGCATATGCACTGTTTATTGGTTTTATCAGATAATTTTACATGTCATTATTTACTTTTCATAATTTATTTTTTTTTTAAATGATGTCCAAATTTCAGATTTATAAAAATTGCTTAACACTTTTCTAAAGTCTATTGAATTTTAAGTGTCTCGAAACTAGCTTAATTTAATATTTAATTATAATAAAATTAATCGACTATTGTAAATAAGTTATACAAAATGACGAGTTTGAGGAATTGATCACATTCTATTAAAATGCGATAGATTCACACGCTCCGACGAAAAATCCTTTCGAAGGCTGTCCCTCGATTTGTATACATCGGTGAACAAACTTTATTGTCTCTCCGCGCTTTGTGCTCCCTATTCAGTCTCTATCAGCAGGTGAACTATTATCAAAACAGCTGTTCACAACATTCTTTCCTGCCCTTTGCCTTCCCCAAGAAACAGCAGTGCAGTTCCTCTCGAGCTTTCGAAAATTACGATGGTCAGCAGTGCACAAACATTTCGTCAAGATTTTGCTCAAACAACGAGCTATCTTGTATTTTTCAGCGGGTGGACCGGAGTTCAGAAACAGCGGCGGAAGTTTCGATAACGCCAACGACCTGAGCATGCCGTCGCAGACCGCTGCGCATCATCACCACCACCATCATCACCATCATCATCCCCATCTGCATCCGCACTCGCAGGAGCAGCAAACCACGACGGAGCAGTTGCACGCCGTGCCGAAGCTGGAACCGCCGCCCACGCCGCCCGCGCAATCCGAGGACGTTCCGGGTGTGGTGTGCGCGGGCTGCGGCCTCAGGATATCCGACAGATTCTACCTACAGGCCGTCGACAGGCGGTGGCACGCCGCGTGTCTCCAGTGCTCGCACTGCCGTCAAGGCCTCGACGGCGAGGTCACCTGCTTCAGCAGAGACGGCAACATCTACTGCAAGAAGGATTACTACCGGTGAGTAAACTCATATCTCCACTTTGCGCCTACCGTTCAAATATAAATCTATCTTAGCTCTCTCTCCAGATTATACTCTTATTTATGACACAAACGGAGAGGAAAATTTGATAATCGAGATTAGCCGCGGGGCTAAAGGGCGAGGCGATTATTTAAACCTTCGTTCGTTTTCTGTGCGAAAGATGCTGAAGATTTCATGAATTATGTGCTATATAATTTTCTTAATCTCTTTATCTATTTCGTCAGACTATAATTTCGTAGAAGCTTAGCTTTTTAATTTCTGAACTCTAATTTGTCCCACGAACGATCTTATCAATGTTGTGGCTGTTCCGGCGGTTTCGTCCTATTTCATCCTATTTCAATGCGACGAGGCCGCGGCTCGTTACGAGTCGCCGAGAATAGTCGCGCTGCTCACGCGAGCAAGTCAAGCGCAAAGTAATTTCTGCGATTCCAGGGCCGATTTGAAGAGTCGCTCTGAAAATGCATCGTCCCTTGCGTAACTCACGTTTCGCCGCGAGTATACGCTCGTAATTTCGGTCGTTACGAACGTCGGGAAATAGCTGCAAATTATATTGATAGAGTCGCATTACGAAGGATAACGCAAGGCGCAATATTCGCAGCAAACTCTTCTTTACGACTGCTTTGAGAAATACGAGAGGGATTGTCGGATTTCTTGCAGTTTACAACATTTGTGATTTTAATTCTCTTCAGACATTTTCGAATATCACGTTAATTTGATCGAAATTGTTTATCAGATTAACTCTGATTCGCGAGAATAGTCCGTAATGGAAGCAGCTCTTCCGTCAGTTTTACGAAAGAAATTATTGCGTTTAAAATGCATCGCTTAGTGGAGGGCCTGATGTGTTAGAATCCCGCCGGGCCTCACACGGTGTCGATTCGCGTACGTTGTCGACTTCGTAGGTACGGGCCAGCCCATACGTACACGGTCCACGGACTAATGGTCACGACTTGACCATTTACCTCCGGCGAAGCGTCGATTGTTGATAAGTAAATCACCCCTGATCTACATTTTGCGAGCGACGGATAAATATATGTACGCCGTAGAGACGTCATTTCAAGTGCGCTCGATCGCAGTTCTTATTGAGTGACTTTTTAGGTCACGTTGATTATTAACAACTCATCAATTTGTCAAATTGTTTGATACAGTAATAATTTCCTTTGATTATCTTAAATCTTGCTTAATTCACTAACTTTCAAATTCGAAACAGATTGCGAAACAGATTGTATTGTTATTTAATCAAAATAGATACTTTGTAGCCTGGCTTGATACGTGCCGATACTGCTTCAGGGCGCATAAAAGCGACCTATATTTGTAAGAATTAAAAAAAAAACTTATTCCAAAATTTTGCGCACATATTTACTCGTATTTGAAGAAGATATTTTATATATTTTTATAATGAAATATGAAATATTTTTTCTATAATTTGTAATGTTCTATACTTTGGAATATTGCTTAAAAAGAAACCATATTGTTGGCTGCGATCTAATTGCAGCGATTCTTTTATTATTTATTTAAAATCAGCAAAATCTTATTAATTATATATATATAAATGTGACTAAAAAAAAAAGATTAAAATAATATAATTATTCAAAAATATGTGCATATCACAGACTACAAATATTTTTTTGTATTTTTTTATATTGCTTAGGAATTTATTTTTGAGGTCCTGAGCATTTCAAAAATGCAAGAAAAAACTTGAGCTTTTCAAAGAATTTTTCGAGAATAGAATATCATCTTAATTATAGTCTATTCAACACATATTGCAATGATAATACAAATATTGTTAAGATTTAATTCCTCGTTAATATTTTAGTAAGCTATGGCTATCAGAAAGAGAGAGAGAGAGAGAGAGAGAGAGAGAGAGAGAGAGAGAGAGAGAGAGAGAGAGAGAGAGAGAGAGAGAGAGAGAGACGAGACGA